TTATGTCATTTTCAGGTAAATCAATCCAAAATAACATTGGCTTTAACAGAGGAGTTCTTGATGCATCAGACGTTAGGGAACTCGACTGCGATGATGTACGTGCAGGTGCTGCATGCGATGGTAAATTCCGCTTTCCAGAAAATTCAAATAAAGTGACTATAGGATAAATTTCATGGAAATTTTTAACCGAATGCATTTAAGGATAATCATTGAAAAATTTTCTAATTAAAAAAACAATATAGAAATGAAGTTGAAGTCTAAGTTAGAATTGGCTTGGTTGGGTTGGGTTGGGCTGGGTCGGGTTGGGTGGGGTTGGGTTGGGTCGGGTTGGGTTGGGTTGGAGTGTGGGGTGTGGGTGTGGGTGGGTGTGGGTGGGGCGGGTGTGGGTGTGGGTAGGGGCGGGGGTGTGAGTGTGGATGTGGGTGTGGGTGTGACTGTGGGTGTGAGTGTGAGCGTGGATGTGCGTGTGGGTGTGGGTGTCAGTTTGGGTGGATGCATGATAAATTCCTTGACACCTACACCCACACTCGCACCCACACCCACCCACACCCACACCCACACCGACACCCACACCCCACACCCACACCCACACCCCACACCCACACCCACACCCACACCCAGACCCACCCCACCCCACACCCACACCCTTCACTGTATATTTATATATTTCTTTAAGATTTACAAGTGCTTTTCCTGATGGTGAAGTAACAACATTTCGACGTGATGATTTACCTTTACTTAAAGATATTGTTAATCGACAAGTAGAAAGTATTAAAGTAAATATTGGACGGAAAAAAAAAAAGAGTAATTATTTGTTACATATTGATTTTTCTTATAGCGTGTCGGTCGTCATCCAACAGCTGAACAAACTGATATGTTTGCTTATCATTTACCTAAACATTCACTATCAAGTTTAATTGTATATACAAAAAAAAAAAAAAATTTTAATTTAATAAATAATTTATTGTTTTTTTTAAGGATATTTTTGTACTTCTATCACAATTAGATGATAGTATATTTTTTATGTATAATGTTGAAGATGTAAAATTTCTTGCTGATATTATTGAAAATATTCCATTACCACTTCGAGCTCGTTATACATTTTTATATGCTCCAATTAATAAAAAAAATGCCATTTGTTTGTACTATATTTTTGAAAGTAATAAAATTTTTATAAATAATCATTATTGATTTTATCTGAATTTTTATATTGGTATGTTCGTCAATTTAGTTGTAACGAACCAAGTACATTTGATTGGCTGGCAAGACAAATTGGTTGATCCTTTGAAATCTCAAATACAATTATGGATTTAATACATTTAGAAGAAGTTTTTGATTGTTTAAATCTTTATTAATGGTTAAGATAAGAATTTATTTATTAATTATTAAAATTCTTATTACAAAATTTTTAGTTTTCGTTTTGCTGATATGATCCCTGATAAAGAATTAGTTCGTAGTATTCAAGCTGAACTTGATCAAATAATTTATGCTGATGTACAAAATATTGTTAAACTTATGCATGGTACAAATTGTCTTGAAGATACAAAAGATGTTGCTGTAACAACATTGACCACAGAAAAAAAAACAGCTGAAGTTATTGCAGCTATAAGTGAAGAAACACAACCAACATGTGGAACTATATCTAATGCACCACAAATACGATCAATTATTGAATTAGAAGAAGAATTAGATATCAATACAACGAATTTATCAACATCAGCTGTTCAAGATATTAAAGTTGAAAAACAATAAGAAGATAAACCTTCAACACCATTAACTATGAATACACATAAAGTTTTAGATTCATATTTAAATGCCTGAAAAACACAAGCAGAAACATGTGGACATGAATTTAA